ATAACGATTTTGGCTTTGGAGAAGTCAAAGGAAAATATCTTGCAATTGAAATCTCATTTATGACTACACGAAAAAATTGGGCAATGTTTATGCTGTTTTAAAATCAGTTCCAGTAATGAGCTTTGAGTCACCCAAATACAATGACACTTTCAAAGTGGTTTTGACTAATACTACTGACAGGTTTGAACCACTGAGTGCAATGTTGTGTGCAGATAAACTGTTTTTCTTGTCTTTTTCTCTTCGTATTTACTTCCTTTTATTGAATATGCAAAGGTAAAATTGTCAAGAGAGCGGAAGCGGTCAAACAATGGACCGTCGATCAACACACACACACACAAAATGGGGATTCGAACACATCTCTGCGGGGTGATCATTTGGTGACGTTACTACCGGGCCACCACCACCCTGGTAACAGCCTTGAATCAAACTGATTAATCGTATACTGCGCAGGTCAATTATAATTAGCCAACAAACCTTGTCGATTGCAATGCAAGTAGGAAATGATCATGCAAATTGAATAAAGAACATTACGTGAAACCATATAAAAGATCAAACCGACCATCGATTCGAGAACGTACGGTTCCCGTGCTCTGGGTTGTTTGAGGTGAGAAGCTAGCGGAACTGCGGGATAAAGCGGGTACCTTTGACTTCAGGAATGTGGATATGATGAGCAATTTAGATCTGAATGAGTTTAGCAGGTCAAAATGTATACCCCGTGACTAATAAAAACATCAGCAGGGCGAATCCTTCGACCATCATGAATATTATAAATGATAAAGGATTTTATCAGCTGCCCAGTAGTCGAATGGGTGATATGGTTGCGTTCTACTACCTGTGAGGTTCCGGATTTGATCCCCAGTTGGGTTGATAAACTCGCACTGCAACTGACGAGACCTAACCAGCTAGAAACAGCTGCTTAATTCTTCCCAGCTTTTCAATTGAAGCTTCATTCACACGACGAATTCATCATTTAAATACATCAAATTTTCCCTCTTTCTAATATAGTAAAAGCATACCTAGGCGGTAATTTAATACAATGAAATAAACAGAATCTCAAAAGCACGTTCACAGCAAGCAAGACGTAATTCAACTGGAATTCAAAACACAAGCACCTGTGAAATGGGGTTGTCTGTAATTCGGCCTGACCTTTTAGCATCAAATGTCGGCATAACGTGCTTATGACCAGTCTTACCTGTTGTCATAACGACCATGATTTCATGATGTTTTCTTTGATCTTCCCCCCCCTTCCCAGTTTCAATCGATTGAGAACGCGACCAAAATTAATGTTTAAAAGACACCGAGCTCAAAATAAAGCGTTTTACCACTCATAGATGACGGGAGCGATTTCCAAATGGCATTTCTTATTGCACAGCGTTTCGTTCAGTGTTTCACAGCTGTCGCTCACCTGCACTTAATTTCTGATAAAGTATTAGGTTACGCGAGACCGGGGCACCAAGTGTCTATCGTTTTATCGTTACCTGTCACAAATACTGTGGACTGAAGCATTGTTTCCCAAAATCAGTTCGCCTTCCCGCATTACATTGTAATCCTTGATCCTGGGTTTCAAGCCTTTGTCCGCAGTTTATTTTAGCGTTCTGTCATGTTATTTTGTATCAGTTTAGGCCATCAGAGCTCAAAGAAACTATTCACTGCATCAATAATCTCCTCGCTCAGTTTTCCGCGTACTCCTGCTATATGCACATTCACGGAAACGCAATCGAAAGCGCTGACTATGTTTTCGGTTGAACCTCGTTCCTCACCGCGGTCTTTTTTCCTTGTCTGCATTCCTTTCTACCATCGGTTGTAGGGTATTTAAAAAGCGCCCATTCTACTCAAACAAAACGCGCAATTTAGCTGTTATGGAACGTAAAGTTGTCCTATTTGGTGAATGATTTAGTTCCGAAAGCAATAGATCCTCAGCGAAGGAGTAAAACTAGTGTACTATCGACGATTTGGATAAACTTATTCATCGGTCATGGACTAGAGTGAATCAAACCCATTGAGTCTGAAATGGTACGACAAAACTGAAGATCGGAAGACAAGTTTTAGGCTTGAATTTTTTCTGTACTATTCTCCGCTTTCTTCATGTACAGATTTAGTCGAACATGTTCTGTCCAGAGGTGAGATCATGCGCTTGAGTCGGATAGATAATCGAAAGCTTCGATAAGCGAACTGTTCTGTAAAGAAGATTGAACAATCCATCTCCACTTAGAGGGGATTGTGGATATGAGATTGATATGGAACAGAACACGTCAGTCAAGAATAATCAGATAAACAATAATAGAAAAGTGCGCTCACCGTCTGTTTAACATGACGCTGTTTACGTTTGCCAGTAGGAGAAAATCAACGACTTTTTAACCAGTGAAACATTCCGCACAGCAGATGCAATGTAGCACAACGATCAACATTTTGAACGGAACTCAAACGGTCCAGAGAAGCACAATTGGGCACGTTTGTGTAACTTGATGATTCAGCTAGCGGTATATAGTACGTTCATCTGGGGCTTTGGAAGGGAACACAGGCAAGAGACAACTGTGTGGAAAGTGCGATCTGCGTCACACACCAGCTCCGACCAGTCCCATAGTGAACTGCTTCATGAGATGCGAATTATTCAGAAAGATCGAGAGAAGTATAGCAATGATCGGGGATTTTCTCTGTCCACACCTCTTATTAAAGTTATCGGAGTATGTGTTCATATACTTTCAACACATCTTCAGCGTTTTGTTCAATTAATCGTATACTACTCGTTATAAAAAAACACTGAAAATCGACCATAGTGTCCAGTTGGCTGAGGTCTTAAGCATTCAATCCACAACACCTGATACAGTATCAACACGATGATTCTTCGAGACTTGTTTATCTTAAATCCATTCCCCGAACTGCTAATCAGGATGCCTATGTTCCCGAAATAGTTCACCAAAAGATGCACTCATGAGTTACGTTTTCCAAATTGAAGGAAGACGTCTTCTTTTGTCTACAATTTGGTGCGCTACGCGTACGTGAACGAACTTTTGATTTGCAATTAACTGACAGTTACTTGTGTACAGTTGTCGGGGATAATTGATTTTGATTAATTGGAACTGACCACAATTCAGACTTCACCATCACACACAATTGTCAGTTCTTCCAGTCAACCATACACCCAGAAGACTCGAGTTGTTAGGGGTCTTTTAAGGGGTCATCAGTATTGCTCATCCATTGCTCCGTGCGAGCAATAAACTACGACCCTATTGCATGGAAGCGGTGTGCGTTACCTTTGTATCAATGCTGAGTTGTAGTGCTGAGATCCGACGGATCATCGGCTTAAATAAATATCAGTTATCCCAAACTATTACTCAAAGGTTACTGTGAATTAAAAACTACTTCGGACTTCTTTTTTTCTTTACATTTTTTAATTATTACTTCCTTTTATTGAAAATACAGGGATACGACTTTCAGGAAGGTGGAAGTGGTCAACCAAAAGACCACCATTTAACACTCAATAAGGAAAGTCAGGCGGTGGTAGGGGGATTCGAACCCAAGTCCCCGGGGTGATAATTTGGTGATGGTATCACCGAGACAGCACCAACCAGCCAAGTAGGTTAATGAAAAGTTAGCCCGTAGCTTACATGAAAGATTTCAATTGGCGTTGATAGATTTTCAGTCCTCAACTTTCATTACTGTTTAACCGAAATAAACTGACTGAATATCTCTGAAGACAACACCTAGATAAACTTGAATTGGCATTTTGGTTCAGCCCTGGCATGAGCTGGTTGGCACATTGGTAGTATTTAGATTTCAACGCCTGAACGAAACGGTGGATATGCACTACTAATGAGCTGTAATAAAAGGGAAACTCCAGTGCTTCCGATCGTATGGTTGACTGGAAGAACGAAGAATTGTGTGTGAATGCGAATTCTGAAGGATGATCAGTTCAAATCAATCATTAGTTTATCAGTAAATACGGGATAGATGAAGTAAAAATGATTTCATATTTGCTAATATGCAAAGTGGGACACGTCGGTACTGAAAGCGGGTGGAATAATGTGAGTTACTTGTTCACATAGTCTGGCGTCTGATGAGTCGGTGTTATCAAATGAAATTTTTCCGCGGAAGCCTAGCACATAGCAAAATGCCCATCACAAGCATTGTGTACCAGACCAGTAAACGAAGCATGACTAATCATTATGGAGTCACTTGCCAGCAGCACACAGTTGGTTTTCAGTAACGGATTTATTGCGGATGGTGAGAGAATACACTGATGATCGAACTTACTCATCACTGACTGGTCAGAACGAATACCAACACAATTTTATGATCTTTTTCAACTGGAAAACAACAATAGTTTGAGTGTGAATAGATCAAGAATAAATACTGTTTTAAGGGGAACTTCGTCGTGTCGGGAGCAAATGAGACGTAAACGAAATGGCTGGGAAGAACTGGACCGCTGTTTTGTTCTAGTTCGGTCTCCTCAGCTACAGTGCGGATCCATCGACCTCAATGGAAATTGAACCCGAGATTTTACGGGTAAAAAGCAAGCATACCACTCACTAGACTACCGTGCAGACGACCAGACGCTCTCCGTGTTACCCTCTGAGGTCACGACTCGGTCGGAAACGGTCCGGACCAAATCGCTTATGTGACATTCCGGGTTCGATGACCAGATGGGTTCAACGGATTCGCACGATCAATGAGACTGTAAACTAGATTCAATCAGCTGTACAATTTGAGTGCTCCCGAGATTTGCAGTGCACGTTTCTTTGGCTCTGTCCGCGACGAAATTCTCCAAAAAAATGCGGATAAAATATTCAGTATTCTTTTGAAATCTTGCTTCGCTTTTCCCGTGTAACAAGTAGTCCGGATGAGAATATTTCCAACAGAGTCCTAGACGTGTTCAGCGGATCGCGGTGTGATGTTTGCAAGACGCTCACAAAGATAGATTGTGCTGTATCGTGAAAAAAAGAAAACGGAAGTTGTTTAGATCAGCTGCCTGGTAGTCAGATTAGTTATTATAGACTTACGTTCTAGCTGCATGACCTCGGGTTCACGATCCTCATTAAGGTCGATATAGTATCAGTGCTGTTGAAATCCCATCTATTTGAAACAGTCGTTCAGTTCTTCTTCTTCTGACATCATGTACTTTATACAACTCGAATTTCAATATGAAATATCCTTTGTTTTGGAATTATCTTCTTTACCGGAAACCGCAGAATGACTTTTATCTCTAAGAAAATTGTAACGTATCATATTGATTGATACAATACCCTGGTTGGATGAATTGGACCCTTTGCAGCTGTTGCACACTACTTCAAGCCCATAACCTGCATAGACGACTAAATTTGGTGCCAGGATTTTGGGCCAAATTCAACTGGAACAACAGTTCTGATCAGCCCTGGTACGAGCTATTTGGCGCATGTGCTTTCCTTTCAATGGGTCCGAAGTTCAAATCCCGTGCGTGACGGTGGGCAATCACGATGGATGAACTATTATAGGAGCAAAACTCAAATGTATTGTCTGCGAGCGTATTGCTGACTGAAAGGGCTGAGAACTTTGAGTGGCGGTTAAATAGGAAGAATGATCCTTTGTAATCAATCAGTGTAAATCATTAAACAGCACTAGTCACTAGTAGTTGTTAGTTAAATGCGAATTTTAAGAGAGGGTTGTTCACAACGGCAGACATAATATTTTGAGGAATCTGTATTAAGTCCTATTGAGGTGGATTCTGTTCCCATGGCACACACGAGCTTAGTAACATTTCATCTGTCCCAATCAAAATATCTGGTAAATATTCAAATCCAGTCTACGGTGATTTTAGATCCATCAGATTTATTGAAATTTCGTAATCATAGGATCTAGGCAAAGACAAATACAAAACAAAATGTCAAATCAATCGTGTGTTTTTAAGCACAGTCATTCTAACCCTGCAAGAATGCCCGATAGTGAAATATCAACATGCATACTTGTCATAGTTGTACGCAAACTGATTGCTGAGCAATCACGGAATAAAATGTAACCCTTTAAAACACGGGGTCATATGCTCAATAAATGCTGTTTTTTTCTCTAGCAGTAAAAGTTCATCACATTTCACCCCCCGATCGCCTAAGTGCGAGACCAAACTCCCAAGACTAATCTTTTTCGTGTATTTGATTACTCCGTTTCTCTTTCCGAAAAGATGTTTGTACAACTATCTATCCGAGGGAACAGGCTAGACCAAACAAGTCCCGTCAGTTTACATGAAAAAAAAACGTATTTTACTCGATTGTCAGTTTGCTCCCACAGTAAGGAAATTCAGAAAAAAAAATCGATATTTCTGTATATCACTGATTTCTTAGAACTATGGCCATGTTTTGAACCAATTGATAGCACTTGTTTATTATCTCAATATAGCATTCACTTGAATGTGCCGGTCGCCTCATATTAAGATTTGCGTTTAGTAACTTTTTACATGTCACGTGCAACTTATTTTTCAATCTCTTCGAGTTAGATGCCAAAATGTGCGACTATGAAAGCCGGCAAGTCTATGCCCAAAATGATTTCAATTTGTGAGCCACCAATTGTCTACCGAAATCTCAGCCCGTGTGTACGGTTAATATAACTTTTGCTGGGCATCCTGGTTGGAGACTATGATATAGGGTTATAGTATAGCTGAAAACACGGAATGATGTCGAGGAATTTGGAAAACAACATTACGCATGCATTCGTTCCTTAGTAACAATGATTCAGCATATCAAATCGAGATTTCCGAGTATCCCTTTAAGTTTTACGTATGCCGTTTGAAGTTGTTTTAGCATCATTTCAAACTGTCCCGTTGATCTCAACAAAACTGACAAAATTGCCTCAAAGTGACCTCTAAATGATCAACAATCGGTAGAGATTTCTCAGGATCTTGCTGGAACGTGATGAGACATGTGGATTTGACGTGCCTCACTCACACACAGCACGTAACATTTGGTCCATTTAACTAGCCCACCGGTGTACCAGTCCACACGCACATACATACACACACACACACACACACACACACTTCTATATCCCTGCACTTGAACAAACAATAGTTTTCGTGTTCCGCTGACATCAATGATTGCTGACAGAGCGATATACACTGATTGCAAATTATGTTCTATTATGATCATATTGTTATGTTATGGTTATAATCACTAATCTTATGGTTTATTTTTATTCTATTATCTGTCATTAGCATAGATGCATAACTCACAATTACTAAGCTTCAAAGACCGAAATGTAAACATGACCAAACTGGTAACTAATATGCAAATAGAAATCGTGATATAGTTACGAAACCGGTGATGAATGAATTGGTGTACAGAGAGTTGACGAATTATACTGTGAAGTATTGGATAATTTTTATAGGCCCCACAGGGTTCGGATATTGAAAAGCTTTGAAAAGATATTTACCAATCTGAGTTAATAAAGCACATTTCGAGGAAAACGATTATCTTCATTGATTCATTTCCGAACCTGGACAGACCTTATAGATGGGTGACGTGGTAAATGGGCATTATTATACACTCGCTAAAGATTCACAGAGATTAGTTAGGAAAAAGAGAGAGTTGGGGTGAGTGTTACCACGTGTTTCACACCACTAGATGATTACAACATTACAATCAGGTTGTGATGCGTTCGTTGTTCGTGCACTCAATCTTAGTCCACGACATTTGAATAGCATCGACCAATCACTTGTGTACGCGAAGTTTAGACAACTGAATGCCGATCGCTTCCGCGGTGGCTTCCGGGTGTGGAAACGCTGCGACTTGGATGAGTGGGAGTGATATTCGATATGTAACCTTGAAGGCTGATTGAAGATGTACCCATTGATCTGAATCTGTTAAATGCTCGAGAATAGGGCCTCCTGTGACACCAATCCTAATGTGCTAAAGCAAGCGTGGACAGTGCTGTTTCATCCTCCGAGATCGTTCCGCCACCGTGCGTTGCGATACAAAAAAACAGTGATAAAGGCTCTTCTCACAATCAAGAAAAACCTCTTAAAATCAGATCAGACAGGTTGTCTCCTTTGAATAAAAATTTAAAAACAGCTTCTTATTCGGAGCATCCTAAACGGGCTCTTATTTTGATATTTTTTCTTGATTTAGATCACTGAATCTTTTAGTATATCCGTTTCCGCGAGGATGATTTTGAGCTGATCAAGTTTATCTGTGAACGTGGATTTGGAGCATATCTTTAGTGCATGCGAGACGAGGCCACGAGTAGTATTTCCGTTTTGTCAAAATGACAGTACAAAAACTAAAAATATGTTTATTGACTGGTTCGTGTTCTTTTTCGGTATGCTTTTCTTTCAAGATGTTCATCAGTTGTCATTTTCAGAGATACGTTTATGAATACGGATTCATTGTCCTTATCTATTTCCGCGCGGAAACTCAAGGACTTGTGAGCATGTTATATTTTTGTGTGAAATAGTGGAGATCAGTCTTTTCATCGGTCATGCAGAATCCGTTGTCAAAACATCGGTTGTGGAATTTCAACTGTGTAATTTCCGGTACCAGGAGTTTGTTTCCCAAATGCACGGTGAGAATATCTGCTAGTATTGCAGCCAATGAGACGATACAATCCGTCTGACGATACTGAAACTGACTGTTGGAAGTGCAGTTCAGAAGCGGTTCTTCCAACTTTCATACCGATACTTTGGTATCCATTTCATTTTCTTTGATGTAGTTATAAAACCGGGATTAGAAATAATCTCGACTGACTGTAGCTCGGGATGCAGATTCTGTTGTTGGTTTGCCCTCCGAGCTGAATGTTTTGTTGTTAGACAGTTCACCTTCAGGCTAAACAACATCATCAGGCTTCCCTGAAGTTGAACTGATGATGTCGTTGTCTAGCCTGGCTACGAAACGTCTACGAACAGCACTTTCAGCTCGGATAACACATCACCATCAAGAACAAATGAGGTTGACAGTATCCAACAGTGAAACATATGATCATCGTGTTCATGAATTCGAAAGTTTATCGCAGTCTGAGTGGGGCTATTTGTCGACAGACTTCTTCCAGAACTTTCGCAAGCCTTCATGCCCTGCTGTGATACGGGCAGTTGACCGTTGACCATCGGAGTATAAATTCTGAATTCGACAGTTTATAACCGATTGCTTACATTATACGGTCCTATTAGACGTCTCGTTCACTCGATGTTTTGTAGCAAAAGATGAACCAGTCTGAGTAAGGAAAAAACCCGGGACGTTCACACTTTGCTATTGCAAATCTAATCGATCTGTTCATCCTGATTGCAAAGCGAACTTCGTGGATTTCCAGACTCTGAGAGAAGGAATAAGACAGTAGAATATGACCATGCACCTTGGAATGTTTGCTTAGAACATGTACATAATGAATCTGCCGTACTGCTGTGATTTACTTCCCATTCACCAGCTCTCAATACAACTAAACATGTCTTCAGTGTGAAACAAGAACAAGTAAACTGTCTCGACAGTTGTCGTTAGTGGTTAGGCATGTATTACACAAAACTGGCAGCTGCTGTTGGGCAGTCAACTCGATGAATTCCATGCGAAAGGGACTGCTTTCCATGCCAAAAAAATGAAAAAGACCAAACTAAAATATTGAGCGGATGAAAATACGTAAAATACGTGTCTTGAGCCGATGCGCCATTTATGTAAATAATTTTAAATTGTTTTCTTTCACTGAGGCTTTGCTATTTTACAACTGATGCACCACAAACCGTCGTCAAAATCGAGTAGTTGTACATTTTTCTGGCATTTGGCTAATGAAAGCAAAAACATAAGTGGATTTCAAATTTAAATTTTTGATTATGGGTAAATTACAAAGCTGATGCTTATTGAATCTCATTGGGTCTGTACACACTGAGTTCAGTTGGTAGTAAAAATGAATAGCAAATTCTGACATTCACTCACGGGTACTGAAAATTTATGTGGTTCAATGCTTTATCCAGTCGTAACTTGAATGAATCGACGGTTGGGGCACCAACAACTTGAGGTGGAAGGGAAGTTTCAGGTGTTGCAAACTCTGAGGCTGAAAGAATGACGCCT